AAACGAGCCACCATCTTGCGGGGGCGTGTTAAGGGATATAAATCCCACATCGAATAATGATGTAAACACAGACCAATTAATAAAGATCATGGGCTACTCCTCTTAATAAGGTTGACCTTTTAAGATGGACCCCAAAATCTTAATATTTGGGCGCCTTGAGGACATCAGTTCAAGAAGCTTGACGGGAAAGGAATTCATAGAGCTTCCTGACCGTGAGAATGCATCTAAAACAAAGTGGAGGGCTTTTATTCTCTCGGGCTGAATTAAGGCATAAACAAGAGATAGTGTGTGTATATTATGTGCCAGTATGCTTATCTACCATTTCTCACTAGATGCTTTAGTACTCTGAATGTGGGATTATGGAGGCTCTGGATAAATAGTTAGATCCAAGTCCAGGAAAAAAAAAGGATAGTAAGAGATTTGGACAGGCAGAGTCCTGGTGAAATATGTTTTTGGTCTTTAAGTCTTCTGCATTTAGAAATTGAGAAAAGACGCACTACCTTCAGCTTTTATTGGTGTTCTTGGGTAACAATATATTGATAAAGTTTCCATGCTGGAGGGCCGGTGGCAATGAATTTTACAGTAGCTGTGATCATCCAGACCTTTCACCAGTGAAATGACAAGGCTGACGGAATAGGATTTTAAATGATTGAAGGGAATAAGAGCTTACAAAATAATGGTGAGACTGAAGTTATGTGAGTAACATGATTTCTTGGTGTTGGTTGTATTCCTTGGGCCAATGTTGATAAATTAACTTAAAAGCGTATTTTGTACCTTAAACGGGGATGAAGTTCGATGAATTAACCCCAAGATTCGACAAATCATTGTCAATGACTCGTCATATGTCCATGTGCTAGGCTAGTGTATGTTTTTCAGATCCTGAGCCATCATATCTGTCTTATGTATGAGTTGCTATGTTCTATTATGGCATAATGACGTTGCCCGGACCACATGTTTGGTATAGGCCTAGTAATTTTGGCACCTTCATGCATGGAGGCATGTGAATGCACAATCAAGGATTTCACTTGATTGCACAATTGGCTGGAAGCATATGAAGCCTCTGTTTGAGCCCTATTTTTTGAGGAATATGTGTTTTGGAATAGGGATTGTTTTAAGAATTTGTAGTCGAGAAATAGGAAAAAATTTGGGTTCAAGTGTAAAAATATTTTATTGGAGAATGTGTAATTGAAAATGAGTTTTGAAAAAATGGATTTTGAAAAAAATGGAGCTCAAATGGGGGCAAAATATACGTGCATAATTAAATAGCTTAGTAAAACCTGAAAAACTAAGCACACTTGCAAAACTACTATAAACCTTTACCTCATAATCTCTTGCGTGCAGGCCTTGCTAGTATGACCAGTACACATTTATCTAGATGTTTTCTTCCTTAAAAGTCC